TATATACCATATGATATATATTACATATTATTATGCTATATTTATATATTTTATTATTGTATATTACATGTTCAACAATAATATAATGACATATTAGGCATATATTATATACAGTTATATCAATTATATCTATATGCCTATATTATAATAAGCTTACATATTTATGTCATATATGTGATTGTATATGATGCATATATCCCTGCATTATAATTCCTATAATAGAATAAGAGCTAGAAAGGACTTTAAAAGCAAAATAAATAAATAAATAAATAATAAAAACAAATCTGGCTTTAGGCACTTACTAGCTGTGTGACTCTGAGCAAATCACTTCATCCTGTTTGCCTCAGTTTCCTAATCTGTAAAATGAGCTAGAGAAGGAAATGGCAAACCACTCCATTGTCTTTTGCCAAGAAAACCCCAAAATGGAGTCATGAAGAGTTGGACACAACTGAAATGACTCAACAAAGCAACAAATATAGAAAAACAGAAATAAAACATCAGGACAAAGTGCATATATATGATATATGAATGGAAATTATGTTATGTATTAGGGTCAGCCTGGGTGGTACCCACATTTTCTTTTTTTTCTTTCTTTTTTTTTTTTAGGCAATTGGGGTTAAGTGACTTGCCCAGGGTCACACAGCTAGTAAGTGTCAAAGTGTTTGATCTGAGGCCAGATTTGAATTCAGGGCCTCCTGACTTCAGGGCCGGTGCTCTGTCCACTGCGCTACCTAGCTGCCCCCTAAACTTTCTAACCTAAAGCTTTATCTCAAGTTCCCCCAAGCCTAGCTGAAGCTTCATGATACTCCCTAGTCTGAGAGCATGTGCCATGGCAGCCAGCTTTCTCAAGGATACCAAACAAAATGGTGATTTGCATATCAGAATAGTGCAAGTTGATTTGCTATTTGTAGACACTTGCCCTGTCTGAAATTTGTCCATTCATCTCAAACTCATTCCCAATCACTGAGGATGCTTCCTGGTCCCTTCTGAGATTCTGATGTTGCGCTCACATTCCTAGTCACTTAGATAGTGAGGTGTCTCCTCCCTTCTGCCCTAAAGGGGTCTGGGCTGGGGCATGAACAGCCCTCCTAGCTAGTCTTTCTCTTCACCCAGAAAACAATAACTCAGCATAACTGTCATTCCTCAATTTCACACACACACACACACACACACACACACACACACACACACACAATGGCACGTTACACGTTAAGCTTGTAGCTTCTAGTACTCGAAGCTGTATCTTGGAGCTTTCTACTTCCAAGCACACCAGTTGCCTGCTATGGGCAGCCTCCTTTATCTCTTACTTGGCAGCTGCATGGCCCAAGAATTTTGAATTCTCTTTTCTGCTCTCCACCAGACATCTATGCCATTGGTGTGGGGAAACTGGATGTAGACTGGAAAGAGCTGAATGAGCTGGGGTCAAAGAAGGATGGGGAGAGGCATGCCTTCATTCTCCCAGACGCCAAAGCCCTCCTCCAGGTCTTTGAGAATATGTTGGGTGAGTGAACTTCCCCTCCCAGGAGTCAAAGCCCAAGTGGTCAATATGTGATATGTGAGTCAAATGTGTCCCAGTCCCCCCTCTGCCCATCTCAAGGTGCCCTCCCCTGCCCATTTCATGTGTCTGAGATTGCTTACAAAAAGGTTTTTTTTAACCTAATTAAATAGCTCTAATGAGCTAGTAGCCACCAAGACTGAACAACCTGACCACTGATACCACTAAGTGACTGACTCCCCTGCCTCTCCCCCACCCACTTCCTTATACCCAGATGTCACTCACAATAGCAGGCCCAGATTAGTTACTGATTATAACTATAAAAAGAAGTTTGGAGCATGCACACATAGAGATTTCTGATCATATGCCTTTCTATTAGAAAAAAAAATGCTCACCATTAAGCTGGAAAAAGGACCCTTTTCAATTATCTCCTCTCCAAAATATCTAAATATCTCTTCACTCTTTCATCTTGTTCACAGATGTTTCCAAGTTTGTGGACACCATCTGTGGTGTGGGAAATATGTCAACCAACGCTTCATCCCAAGAGAGGACACCCTGGCACGTCACCATTAAGGTAATGGCTAGATTCAGAATTGGGTGTGCATGTAGGGGTAGAGAGAGTGAGGGGCTAGACAGCAGAGTCCCTAAAACTGACATGGTTCCCTCCTGTAGCCCAGCAGCAAAGAGACATGCCGTGGGGCACTTATCTCTGATCAATGGGTACTGACGGCAGCCCACTGCTTCCATACACAGAATGATACCAAGCTGTGGAGAGTCATTGTGGGTAAGGAGAGGAAGGGAAGGAGCCCCTAACCACAGAGGATCCAGGCTCTTGGTTCAACACTCTCTTTCTCTCCCAGAACTCCTGTTGCCCCTCAGGGATATAGGATCTGGGCTCCTCAACCTGCTACCCCATGTTCCTAGGAGATCCTAAGTTAAAGAGGGGTACAGAGATGCAGATTGATCAGCTGTTCATTCCAGAAGAGTACAATGTTTATGCTAAGAAGAACCAAGGCATTTCTGAGTTCTATGGTAGTGACATCGCCCTGCTGAAGCTGACTGAAAAGGTCAAGATGTCCAGCCATGCCAGGTAGAAGAGCCAGGGGATGTCTCAAGCAGTAGAAGGAAGGGACAAAGCCCTTGGGCAGGACTCTCCTGACACCTTTCTTCTTCCCCAGACCCATTTGTCTTCCCTGTACTGTGGGGGCCAATCTGGCCTTGCGGCGTTCACCAGCCAGTACCTGTTTTGACCATGGTAACGTGGGAGGCAGAGAGAATGATGCCCAAGTCCCAGGGGATAGCAGGGAGCTATGGATGAGAAAAGGGATCGGGGAAGAATTGGCAGGAGGTGGGGATTGGGAGGAGGGAGGCAGAAGATATGCACAGATGCCTGTGGTCTGGTATGAGGGGTGGTGTGGTGATGGTACCTTTCTCTCTGGCTCACAGAGAATGTACTTTTGAAGAAAAAAGAAATCCCTGCTCATTTTGTCTCATTGGATGATCAGATAATGGACATTGTTCTCAAGGAAGAAAATGAGGTGAGGACCCAGAAGGAGATCTGGCAAGGTGGGAAGTGATGGGTGAAGAGAAAGGGGCAGGAGGAGACAAAGCTATTCTTCAGACTGAGCTCCCTACAGGGTAGACCTAGGTATATGCTCTCAAAACTTGACCCCATCTCCTTTGTCCTCCTAGCCTTACCCTTTTCCCCAAGGGCCACTGGAGTAGAAAAATGGGAGGATTGCTCACTGAATTTGGATATTTAACTCCATTATTTAAGATGTGGATTGGAATCCTAGTTCTAGCATTGGGCAACCTTGGAAAAGTCACTTAAAAACTCTGGCCTTCTCAGTTTCCTCATTTGTTAAAAAGTGGGGGAAGGTGGGATTAGACTCTAATGTCCCTTCCAGCTTAAAATCTTTGGATTCTATGAGCCTTTGCAGTCTATCTCCCTAACATTCCTTCCCCTTTTCCCTCTGACCACCCCCCTTCCCCCATCCTAGCGGGCCCTGTGCATCCAAGCTGTCTCTCAAGCCAAAAACCTTTTCCCTAATCTCACCGATGTGAAAGAAGTTGTGACTGACCAATTTCTGTGTAGTGGTGCTGGAAGCGAGGCATCCCCTTGCAAGGGTGAGTGTGGAGGACCATAAGGTACCTGGGAAATGAGCGAGTCAGAGTTGGTGGAGGCTGAAGACTGGTCCTTTTGGTTATGGCTAATTATGCCAATGCCTAGCCCATGTCTTGCCTAAGGTCATGGAATGGTGGCGACTGGAGTGAGAGTGGAAAGCTTCACGGGAGCTGGGTTGATGATGCCTCTTTTCTTCCTTCCCATTCTTGGCAGGAGAATCTGGAGGGGCAGTTTTCCTTCAGAAGAAATACAGGTATTTTCAGGTGAGGAGACTAGGAGCTAACTGGGTTTGACTCTGGGGCAGAGATTATAGAATCCCTGGTACAAAGTGGGATACGGACACTAAGTTACATGGAAAGCTTTGAGGAATAGGTAGGGGCTGGGTTATCTTCTCACCAAATTTTCTTCTTTTCCTTATTTAGGTGGGGGTGGTGAGCTGGGGTCTACATAATCCATGTTCCTCAAAGACAACAAATCGTGCCCTGAAGACAACAGAACAAAATGAGGTGAAACGCCAGCCACACCCAGCTGACCCTAAAGCCCGAGATTTCCACATCAACGTCTTTCGGCTTCAGCCCTGGCTGAGGCAACATCTGAAAAATGTCTTACGTTTTCTGCCCCTTGGGCCAGCCTCCTGAATCCTGACCTTCCTAGTGTCCCTCTACTGACCTTCAAGTCTCAAGTCTCTTTGATCTCAGCCTGCCCTTTATAGCAGGGACCTACCTGGCCTCTAACCCTAGTCGTCCTAATGTTTGAGTTCTTTACATGGCCCTTCTCTTTCTGCCATATCACACTTCCATTCCCTCTCCCCTCTTCCCCAACTTTACTTTTCATTTCTATGTCCTACCCCTTCTAGGCATGCCTGGATTTTCCCAGTTGTGAAATTAATAAATTTTTGATATTTCACCGTACTCCCAACCACTGTTCATCTGTCTATGGGGCAAGGTTAGGTTCTGGCTAGAGAAAGTGCGTGGTGGTGGTGGTGGAAACCACTGAAAAGATTCCAGGAATTAGGGGAGGGCTAGAGGTCAGAGACCTTAATAGACAAATAGTCAATGGACTCTGTCCCCATTACCCAGGCCAGGGAGGGAGAGCTCAGGGTTGTCAGGGGAGAGTAGCTGGCTTTACTCCCTGGTCATTATGGGGAGCAGGGAAAAGGACCTGGGGTTTGGGTAAGGGCTGAGGGCCAGGGAATTTGAAACTGAATCCCTGATTCCTGGGCAGTAAAGTAAAGGGTGGGACTGGTATAGTTTCGGTTTCCTTGGCTGCCTATGAATAGGGCCTTAACACAAATACACACACAATTCCCCTTGGGCATTACTGAAAGTGATGCTGGGAGGCGGGGCAGGCTACAGGTGCCAGAAGAGATTGCATAAAGGGAAGTGGGGGGTGTTGGTAAGGGGAGAGCAGGAACAATCTAGTTTGGGATTAGAGTTTGGACTTGGACATTGAGTTTCGGCCCCTGATAGATTCAGAGAGAGACAAACTCAACTTCTTTACTCCCAGGGCCCTCTCCCCTCAGTTGTCCTGTTCATCAACTCCCAATTTCCCTCACCTAGATAGTTAGCAAGAGGGGCACATATATGTGGCCTCTGTTCCCATCACCATGAAGAAGACATTGTGTTCCTGGTTCTGTGTTCTTCCCCTGTTCCTAGGACTTGTACCTACAGGTAAGTTATTTGCCCTATCTCCCATTCATTGGGTCACCATTGGAGCAGAGCAGCTAAAGCACCCTGCCTTTCAAACCCTCTTAGATTACTTGTTTCCTGCTGTCTGAATTTCTGGCACTGTCACTGAACTGAATTAAAATCCTACCACTTCCATTTACTAGTTCTATCACTGTGGACATATATATATATATGTGTGTGTATGTATTTTTTTTTCTGTGTGCCAGTTTTCTCAGCTCTAAGATTGAGGGCATTTGAAAATCCTATGATCCTTTCTCTCTAGGTGTGAGTTCAGCACCATCTGAACCTTCTACTACCCAACCATGTCCTCTGGAAGGAATAGAGATCTTAGGTGGCTCTTTTAAACTCCTCAAGGATGGACAATTTCTGGAGTATGTGTGCCCATCTGGCTACTATCCATATCCTGTGAAGGTGCGAAGTTGCAAGCCATGGGGATCTTGGAGTACCTTACAGACACAAAATAAGAAGATAGTTAAACAAGCTGAGTGCAAGGGTAAGGAGAGCTTGGGTGATGGGTGGGAGGGGCTAGGGGTTAAGGTTAGGGCTGAGGAGTTTAGGACTGAAGTTAGATTAGGGTCTGTGGTTATAGTTAGGCTTCAAGTTTGGTTAAGTTTGGTAGTATTAGGTTAAGATGAGGTTTGTCAATAGGCTGGCATTATTGTTTAGGATGTATCGTTTGGGATTGGGTGTGAACCAGAGTCAGGGTTACATTTGAGTACCAGGTTGGGGGAAAGGCCTGGAGCATATGCTTTGATTAGCAGGACACAGAGAGTTGGGTTAGGAAACTGGAGGTAGCATGGTTGGAATCCTAATAGCAGTCCTAATCTCATCCCTGATAGTAACTCTGATTTTCACCTCAGAACACAAGACTTAAAGTCAATAGACCTGGGTTTAAATTCTGCCTCCAAAACTAACTAGCTATGTGAGCCTGGGCAAAGTCAGTTTCTTCAGCTGTAAAACTAGATACTTGGAAATACATATATCTCAGAGTTTTTGTGAGGAAACTACTTTGCAAACCTTAGATTCCTGTGTAGATAGGAATTATCATGGCTTGCTTATCTTTTTAAGCTACTATAATAATTATTATTAATTAAGAATCAGGGTTGAATTGAGGTTGTAGGAGATCTGTAGACATGTCTAAGGTAGTCAGAGGAAGATTCTATTCTTGAGACAGGGACTGAAAAATCAGTCTGAGGATTTCTTTCTCCCTTCTTACTCCCTGGCTTCCTCCTTTCCCTCGCTCTATTCCTGCAGCAATCCAATGCCCAGGCCCTGAGGACTTTGAGAATGGTGACTTCTGGCCACGAAAACGCTTCTACAATATAAGTGATCAGATCTTTTTCCAGTGCTATGATGGGTATACCCTACGTGGCTCTGCCAATCGGATCTGCCAGTCTTCTGGCCGCTGGGATGGATTTACAGCTATCTGTGATGCGGGTGGTGAGTTCTCCCCTCCACAAAACTCCCCCTCCTAGTTCCCCAGTTTCCTCAGTGCTAGGATGGATCTCCTGTGGGCTCAGCCTTGTTTCCCCCTGTCACAGGCTTGAGACCTTATCTCATTGGATTCCTACAGCGGGGCACTGCCAAGACCCTGGCATCCCCATTGGTACAAGGAAGGCAGGCAGACAATACCGAATGGAGGATAGTGTCACCTACCACTGTGGCCAAGGGCTCACCTTACAGGGTTCCCAGAGGCGTACCTGCATGGAGGATGGATCCTGGAGTGGCACAGAACCCTCTTGCCAAGGTGTCTCCTAAACCCTGCCTCATCTAACTCTGGCTCTGGGCCTGATCTGGCCCTCCCCCTAGAATTCCCTTGTACAAGCCATATTATTTATAGACCTGAACCATCTATACCGGGGGTAGGGGAGCCTATGGCCTCAAGGCCACATGTGGCCCTCTAGGTCCTCAAGTGCAGCCCTCTGTCTGAATCCAAACTTCACAGAACAAAAGAGGATTTGTTAAAGGGCTGAACCTGAGGACCTAGAGGGCCACATGTGGCCTTAAGGCTGTAGGTTCCCCACCCCTGACTTATACCCACTCCTGTTCTTAATCCAAAATAAACTCGACTATTCTCAATCTCCTATCCTGATTTGCTCCTCCCCCTCCAAACCCCTCTAACAATTTCTTTTACTTCCACAATTTCCCCTCCTCCCTCAACTCCCTGCATATGGTCACTCCCTTATTCGTCTACCATTCTTGACCCCAAAGACTCCTTCATGTATGATACCTCAGAGGAGGTGTTTGCTGCCTTCATCTCCTCCCTGACAGAGACAGTTGAAGGGGCTGATGCAGAAGATGGACACAGCCCAGGTATGTGCTGTGCTTGTGTGAGTGTGTGTGTGTGTGTGTGTGTGTGTGTGAACATATCGGGAACTAGTGGAGGGGCAACTTTTGGGACAAAGTCCCAGGAAGGAGAGTGAAGAGCAAGTGAATCTAGGGAAAGAGGGAGGTGGGCACACTGGGGGAGCAGTTTCCAAGCCTTCTATACTTTGTTTGCCTCTCAGGGGAGCAGCAGAAGCGGAAGATTGTCTTGGACCCCTCAGGATCCATGAACATGTACCTAGTGCTAGATGCATCAGATAGCATTGGCAAGAACAACTTCACAGGGGCCAAAAAGTGTCTTACCAGCCTCATTGAAAAGGTGGTGACTCCTTGGGCAGCCCGAGACTGATCCCAAAGGCCTCTTGCTGCCTCTCCTTCAAGTCAGCAAACATTTATTAAGCATTAATTAAATCTGTGTGACACATGGGGAGAAATTTTGGATAAGACTTAGTTCCTGCCATCTTGGAGCTTTGTCTAGAGGTGGGAGAGATGATGCAGACACAGTTAACTATAATAACAACGTGAGATAATAAGTACATCAAAGAGGCCTGAAACAAAGTGTTGTGTGTGGTCAGATAGGGAAAGTCCTTCTTGACTTGGGATGATGAGGAAAGGATTCCTGGAAGAGGTGGCGATAGAGCTGGGCTTTAAGGAACTGAAGAAGTGCTCCCTCTTCCCATGCCTCTATTCTTCTCTCCCCTCAGTCCATCATGCCACCCTACTCCCTAGATTCTCCCAAATTCTGCTGGCTTTAAGACCCCTGGACCCTGAACCACCTATTAACCACGGGTGCTCTACATCCTGGCTAACTGTCTAACCCAGGAGATACTTCTTCCTGTTACTTCCTGAGTCACCCCAGCATCTTCCTTCTTCTGCCAGGTGGCGAGTTACGGTGTGAAGCCACGGTATGCAGTGGTGACCTACGCCACGGAGGCCAAAGCTGTGGTCAAACTGTCAGATAAGCAAAGCAGTGATGCAGACTGGGTCACCCAGCAGCTGGAAAAGATCCAGTATAAAGGTCTAGCCACCCGTGCCCGTGGGGGTTAGAGGATGTTCCTATGGGGGTTAGAGGAAATTAGCAGTATTACCGTGGGATCAGGAAGTCATATATTGTGTTGGTGGTTAGGTAGAGGGCATGGGGGAAAGGCAAGTCTATCAGATAGAGAGGAAGGAGAGGGGATTGAAAGGTGGGTAAGAAGGTTGTGACCAGAGGCTTGAGGGGAGCAGATGATAATCTTGCTCCTCCTTGCAGACCACGAAGCAAAGTCTGGGACGAACACAAAACGGGCGTTGACGCTGCTATATGAGATGATGATCGCACAGGAGTCATCCCAAAATGACTATAACTGGAATCAAACACGCCATGTAATCGTGCTTATGACTGATGGTTAGAGGGAACTTCTTGAAAGTCTCCAACCCTTCCATTTCCCCTAAACCTTAGGCTCTCAAGGTGCAACTCCCTCAGTCCGTGTGACCATGCAGACCTCTTGGGTGATTCTTCACCTCCCTGGCCACTCCCCAATCCTTCTGTGAATGATTCCTTGTTTAGTCTTTTGGCTTCATGGCCACCTCTGGACTTTACCTCTCTTACCGGTCAGAGAAGTCAAAGAGAACCCTTGTCTCCCTATGCTGCCATGATTTCTAACTCTTTCCATCAGCTTTTTATGGCCCTGACCAATAATGTCATTTCTTCACACCTTAGCTGGCATGTATCAATCCGCCCTGTCACTCTTTTGGGAACATAGTCCTTACTTTCTTTAATACATGCAGGAAATTACAACATGGGAGGGGACCCTGTGGCTGCTATTGAGCAAATCCGAGAGTTTCTGGATATTGGAAAGAACCGGAAAAACCCAAGGGAAAATTATCTGGGTGAGTGGCCAAGCTCCTTTGAACAGTTAAAGCAAAGACCCTTATGTCTGGAGCACATACTTCTGCTTTCAGGGATTCAGGAGGCACTCAAGCTTTGCTCTCATCCTTAGATGTCTATGTGTTTGGGATTGGGCCCCTGGTGGACCAGGAGAAGATCAATGCTTTGGCTTCAAAGAAGGATGGGGAAAAGCATGTGTTCAAGGTTAAGGACATGGAAGACCTGGAGCGTGTCTTCTCCTTGATGATTGGTAGGAGCTTGGAGGAGGTGGGGCTACTACCCAATGATATAAGAATCTGGGCATCACTACTACTGTTTCCAGAGCCCCTGATCATTTAACTACTTGCTCCTGCCTTCTCTCCCTGGGAGTTCAGGGATACTTTCTGATGTCTAATCTCCCTCCATCCTGATGAAATCTTGTTTCCCTCTGTCCCAATTTTTCATTCCCATTCTAGTCTCTAATAACAGAATAATGGAATATTAAAGGCTGAGCTGTCCAAACCACGTGTCCCTTCTCCAGCTTTAACACCCTCACCAGCATGAGTTCACTCCCATCAAGGGAGCTAGGAGGCAACAACTCCCTAGTTTTCTCTCTCCTAGATGAAAGCAAGACTCTGGGTCTGTGCGGGATAGCATGGGCACATCAGAAAAGCGGACACTATGAAAGACAACCCTGGCATGCCACCATCAATATAATTGTGAGTGCTTGAGAATGGGCTGGAGAAGCGGGGAACAGGGTAAGAAGGTCGTATCAGGGAGTGCTAATAGCTAGGGGATATGACCCTTCTCTTGTACCCCACCCCATTTTTATTCACAGCGGTCTACAGGAAAGGAGACCTGTAAGGGAGCTGTTGTGTCAGAATACTTTCTGCTGACAGCTGCACACTGCTTTAATGTGGGTGACCAGGCCCATTCTATCAAGGTTGACGCAGGTGAGGCAGCTCTGGTTCCTTAGGGCTCTAGTTTTTAATTTCTCTCATTCTGGCTCCCTAGTATTCTCTTATCAAAATACTTATCAATGGGAATTTCCTGATAACCTTTATACCCACCTGAATACCACCTCCCACCCCTAACTGCACTTCCTTTATGCTCTTGATCAGGGAGAGGGAGAGTAGAGACAGAATTGGAGACTAGGGCCAGAGCAGTAGTTCTGAGGTGACTTCCTGATTCCCGTTTCCTCTTCCTTTATTCCAGGAGGTGTGAAGAACAGGGAGGTGGACACTGTCTATTTCCACCCTGATTATGACATCAATAAAAAAAAAGCTGAAGGGATTCCTGAATTCTATGACTATGACATTGCCCTAGTCAAGCTCAAGAAGAAGTTCATATTCTCAAAAGATCTCCGGTCAGAATCCCTGGGTCTGGCACAGGGCTGGAGCCTAGAGTGCAGCACTGGCCTTGAATAGCATGGTACTTGTTTGACTTGAGCTCTCTCTGTCTCCTCCGCAGACCCATCTGTCTTCCATGCACAGAGGCAACGACACGTGCTTTGAGACTCCCAACAACAACGACGTGTCAACAACAGGGTGAGATAAATAAGTCATCAAAAGATGAAAGACAACAGATGGATGTATAGTAGCGAAGATGTTAGCCTGTCTCTTTGTTTTTTCCCCCCAGAAAAAGAGCTGCTCCCTGAGAAGAATGTCAAAGCCCTGTTTGTGTTTCAGGATAAGAATTTGATACAGAAGGAAGTTTACATAAAGAATGGGGAGATGGTGAGGAGGGGGTGGGAGGGGCCTGAAGGAAGACCATTTCTCCTTAAGTTCCCCCTCCCATAAACCCATCTCTTCTTATTGTGGCCCACAGAAAGAGAGCTGTGAGAGAGACGCCCTCAAGGCCCAAGGCTATGAGAAGATAAAGCAGGTCTCTGATGTGGTAACACCCCGATTCCTCTGCACTGGGGGAACAGAACCTAATGTTGACCCCAACACCTGTAAAGGCAAGAAAACTTTCTCTTCAGTGCCTTTTCTCCAAAATTTGATCGTCTTCTATAAGCTTATTATGGCTTTCCCCCTCTTCCTACAGGGGATTCTGGCGGTCCACTTATTATTCACAAGAAAAGTCGCTTCATTCAAGTAAGTCTTTCTTTTCTTTTCCATCTCAGGAGGCAAAATGTTCTCCTGAGGCCACAGATTAGCATGGCAGCTCAGTTCTAATGGGTGAAGGAAATCCTCGAATTGTTCTCTGGCTCTGGGAAGGTTCTGCAAAACTTATGTGCTTCTTGGAATTTCCAGTGGGTACCACCCAAATGGTCAACATACCCTTCCCCCTAATTTTTCCTTAGGTAGGTGTGATTAGCTGGGGTGTGGTAGATGTCTGCAAGCACCCCAAAAGACTCGCTCCCTCCCATGCCCGTGACTTCCACATCAACCTCTTTCAAGTATTGCCTTGGCTTCGGGAGAAACTGAAGGACGAGGATCTAGGCTTCTTGTGAGACTTCCTATTGGAATGGAACAAAGGCATGGGAAATAGGTGTTGTCTGGGAAAATTAAAACAAAGAACTGCAATCATTCCTGTGTGAGTTCTATGTGTGGGGGGTTGAGGAATTCTGACAGCCATAGTAGTACAGCCCACACCAAACCAGATGACCTTTTTGATGGGTCCTACCCCAATCCTGGATGAAAGAAATTCAGAGGCTAAGGAGGTTAACTGAATATCCACCTCAGTGGTTTTTACTGAGACCTGGATGGGGAGTGGATGGGGGATGGGGGACGGGAGTGGGGGGAAGAGGAGGAGAGGGAGGAGAGGAGGGATTTTCCTTCCCCCTCTTCCAGCTGCCTAGAACCCATCCACAAGGTTTTCTTTATAGACATCATCATTGTAGACAATCTGGGTCCTCTTGTCCCGATGGCAGCCCTTAGGGCTGCTTTGTACAGCTAGGAAGAAAGGGGAGAGTATGTCAAGAAAACAAAAAACCTAGTCAGACCCACAGAGCAGGCCCACCCTTAGGTTCAGCTATGAAGTAAAGTTGGTCTTCAGCCCTTCTTTTCCTCTGTGGGGATCTGCAACCTCACACAGACCCCTGGAAATGTAGAGCCCCCTATAATACATTCATCTTCTCTGGACTGCCCTCCTGCCATTCTCAAGCCCATGAGTGGCCAACCCAGGCTCTGAGTAAAGCCCTTGAAGCATGGGTGAAGGAAAAGGGAAAGTGGAAAAAAACTGCCATTTTGAATTATATTGATTAACATCATTAAAAGCAATTTGTGTCCTTTGAAATGTCTATAATGATTTTACAAAGTAAAGACGTGGATAATGTTAATATTTAAAATTCTATCAGTACTACAAACAAATAGGATTATTAAAATTCTGAAAGGAAGTTGCATCCTTTTGTCAATAACACTGGTGAATTTTGGGTCTTACGTTAGATAAATTTGGCTTTGACATCTCTCTCCTTTCCTTTCCTCTCTCCCTCACAATGAAAACTTTCTATTATCTAGCTAAAAAGTTGGGAAATGGGTCCATTTGTTAATATTAAAGTGATAGGGACAGATAATGCAGCAATGTAAATATCTCTGTTCCAAGCTAACATATTAAAGGATACAGGTTTAGCTCAAAGTATTCTTATTCAAGTTCCTAACCCTTCCCAAACACATTCTGAGAACAATCTGACCCACCATCTTCACTTTTATGTACTACTGTCCTTACAGATACTCTCTTCCTTTCTTTAGAATGCAGAGAAGGAAATATCCCCCTTCCTAAAGTTAACTCCTCTGCCTGTGCCCTAAGATAACAGTTCTTCCCAACTCCTGGGAAATCTCATTCTCATTCTTCCAATCTCTTTAATTTTTATTCCTCCTTCAAATATGCATAGTTCTCCTACAATCTGAAAACAAACAAACCCCAAAACCCTTTGTTTGATTTTGGCTTAATTCTTCAACTAATATCTTATTCCTCTCCTTTTCACTGCTAAGTCTTTCAACTGATTGGTTTCCAACTACTGCTGACACTTCCTTACTATTCATTCCCTCCCTAAATCTATGACCATGTGACTTCTACCCCATCTGTGCTCCCAAAAAGTTCACCAACAAATAGGAGTAGTGGGAAGAGCTCTAGATTTGGAGTCAGAGCATGTGGTTTCTGCTATGTAATTTGGGACAAGTCATTTCACCTCTTTGGGCCTAATTTTCCTCGTAAATTGAGGGTGTTGACCTAGATAATCTCTAAACTCCACTCCAGCTCTAAATCCTATGGCTATGACTTTGTGACACCCTTGTTACCAAATTGAATGCCTTTTCCTCGTTTTCACTTTCTATGGCAAGTGACACTCTGGATTACCATTCCCCCTTCCCAATTTCCTGAAACTCTTTCCTCTTGGCTTCCATGACATGGCATTCTTCTGGCTATATTCTTATCTCTCTCTTTTCTATTCTTCTCCCTCTCTTTCTACATTTTGAGAGGAAATGGAAGGGAAAATGACTTAGTCCTCAAGGCTCAGTTCCTGGTTTTCTGCTCGTCTTTACAGCCTTACGGATGAACTTATCTTCTTTCATAATTTCAATTATTCTCTATGCTATCAAATGCTGACTTTCACCCACAACCTTAATATCTGAGTTCCAGGCTTGTATATGCATATAGGGCATTTACATCTGAAAGTTCTGCTATCACCTCAAAAATCAACATATCTAAAACTTAACTCATCTACTTCTCCAAAAAAATGACACCCTGAATCCAACTTTCCTATTCTTCCTAATTATTTAAGCTAGAAGCTTCCCTATAGAAAGAAACCTCCTTTTCTGACTCTTTCTTCCCCTTCCCTCTCACCCTTCTGCGCCCAACTCGATTTGGTTAATTTTTTCCAAATATCTTGAGTTCATCTCCTTTCCTTTCCTTTCCCTCCCCACCGCTACCACCCTAGTCCTGGCCCTCATCACCTTCTAGTGAGTGTAGGGTTATACAGAAGAGCAAGATGAAATAGTGGATTATTGTGGGGTTCAGCTGTGAACTGTATTCTTACCAAGGGAGCCCCAGACAGAATTGCCAGTGGCAGCATCTAGCATGGGCTGCTTACGAGCAATGCTAACCTTGAGTTGCACAGATTCTACCTTGGTCCCGTTGAGCTGTGAGGGGAGAGATGACAGGTGGCAGGAAGGGTCAAGAACACATTAGAGAGAATCTATTTCTGTCAGATATATCCCATGGGCAAAATAAGTTAGGAATGAAGAACATGAGAGATCCTACAGATTGAGAATGAGGAGACTGATGTTGGGAAGGCACTCACAACTTACACTCCCCCACTCCCAGTATTTTATGGAGGAAATAAAGGGATCAGGAGAAGGGACAAAGGGAATAGATTTAAGAATTCTGACCTCGGCTATTGCCTGATCTGCTGATTCCATCTTCTCATAGGTGACAAAGGCACAGCTGGGTGAGGATGGAAAATACCATCATCCTGGGGCCCACATCTCTTCTGATCATTCCCTCCCTCAATTTCTTCTACTAGGCCCAATATAAGACTTCCCTTCCCCACTCCCTCCCAACCTTCTGTCTCTTTGTTTCTGGCCCATGAGAACTTTCTCTCTCACTCCCTTGTATTTTTTCCCATGACCCCAAAGATCTTATTGCACCTCACTCTTCTCACTTCCTATTCCAAACCCTCCTTACTTTCGGGGTGGGTCCATGGAAAGGTCAATGATGTTCCCAAAGGGTGAGAAGGCTCCACGAAGGAGGGTGGGTGTCATATCTGTTCCAGATACATATAGTGTGTTTCCCTTACGTGGACCTCGGTACTCAGGGAATGAATCAGACCCTGTGAGGCCAGAGATCATGTTTAGGATCAGGGATCAATCCAATCAACCTGTTACTGGAAAGGTCATTGTGGACCCCACTTAAAAATTCTCTGAAACTTCCTATCCCCTAAGCTCATGTCACTTACTTCGGAAAGGGCCTTCTCGATCCCGGTCTCGGTCCCTGTCCCGATCTCGGTCTCTGTCCCGATCCCGGTCTCGGTCCCTGTCCCGATCACGTTCTCTGTCTCGGTCTCGATCACGTTCTTTGTCCCGGTCTCGATCCCGGTCTCGGTCCTTGTCCCTATCCCGGTCTCTGTCTCGATCCCGGTCCCTATCCCTTTCCCGGTTCCTCTCATGGCTGCGATCTCGACTTCGGCTTCGGGGTGGGGAGGCTGAAGAGGGGGTACCACTTCGCTCCTCATAGCCCCAGTCAAAGCTTCGGGGAGGGCCATCACCACCCCCTGGACCTTCTGATTCCTCCCCTTCTGGTCCTAGTTCCCGAAGCCGATCACTGGATGAAACAAAGCTGTAGAGACATATACTAAGGATGTAAGGTCCCTATCTCATCCCCTCCTCAGGGGTATATGCATCCTCCCCTTTCAGACCCTGGTTCCTTCCAGCCCAAGTCCCATGGCTCCAGGAACCCTGTCCCATCTCTAACCTCTCATATAGAGATTTCCTCTGGGGACGTCTGGATGACTAGATGGAAGAAAACAAAGAATGGCATGAAGAATAGCTAAGTTAATACCCAGAATCAGGTACCCAGTTGCCTAACTCATTTTTCTCCCCTTTCTAACTTTACTCAGCCTATTCCCACCACAATCCCTCCCTCCCCCTTCTACCCAATGCTTTCCAAGCACTGAAAATCCGGGAATTACCTCCTGCAAGTCATCATCGGCTGAGATGCTTCGCTGAAATGGCTGAAAAGTAGGGGCTGGGCCCTTCTCTGGATCCTAAGGGCAATAGAGTGGAGTTAGGACACTCTAGCCAACTGGCCAAAGCCTCCCTTCTTCCTCTTTTGTTTCTTCTCCCTTTTAAAAAATTCTGACAATCCCCATTTCTTTTAACTCCTCTCCAAACATGGCATGTGCTCAACAGAAATGCCCAAATATATTTCTAACTTCCTCAGATAACCTGTAATTCAGTAATACACTCTGGGTTTTCGTGACAATGCCCTCTTAGTTCCACTCCTACCAGTCTCACCACTACATATCATTCTCCTTTGTTTATTCATTATCTATATCCTGTCCCCTAACTGTGCGTGTACTCCAAGATAAATGTCCTGGGTTCTCTCTCTTACCCCTCCATATTCTCTCATTTGGTGAGCTTTTTTTTTTTACCTCTCATTGTGAGCAACTGGCTTAATTATAATTTCTATGCAGATAATTTCAAAATCTATATTCAACTCTATTGTCCCTGTGCTCCAGTCTTAAATTAATTGCTTATTGGAAATTTTGAACTAGATGTCTGTTAGGTATATAAAATGCAACATGTCTAAAACAGAACTCGTTTTCTTTTTCCCAAAACCTTCTTCCAAATTTTTCCATCTCTGCTGAAGGCATCAATATTTTGCCACCCAGGTTCACAATTGTGGCATTATCTTTGACTCTCCAACTTTGCCCCACTCCATGTATCTATCAGATACCAAATCTTGTCTCTACCTCCACAACATCTCCTGGGTATTCTCCTTTTTACTCACACGACTATAACCCTAGTTTTTGAAACCCTCATCATCTATTGCTCAGGTTACTGCAATAACCTTAGTCTCTCAACCTCCAAGTCTTTGGAGACTTGTTCTATCTACCTTTTCCAATCTATCCACACTAGAGTGATTTCCTAAAATGCAGGTACGACCACGTCACTTTCCTTTTTAATAAAGTAGCCAATGGCCAATGGTTCCCTATTGCCTTTAGGACTAAACATAAAATCCTTTGTTTGGCACTTAAAACCCTTTACAACCAGACCCCAACATAACTTCCCAGCAACCTTATATATCACTCCTATTCCTGCATTAAGAGGTCCACTCAGACTAATCTCCTTACTTTTCTTCACACATGATACTCCCATCACCCATCTTGGTGCTTTTTGCACTAGCTATTTCCTTTGTACAGGTATCATCCCCCAGCTTCCTCCTTACCTTCTTTAAGAATCTCTTGTTTACTTTAAAGCTTAGTTCAAGGACTACCTTCTTACTTTCCTTGATCTACTAAAGCTATTAGTCTCCAATGGCCCCCAAACTACCTTCTACTTATTTTGTATATACTTACAATACATACATGCTATCTCCCCCAAAGATGTAAGGGGGTTTCTGTCTCTGTATTCCCAATGCCTAGCACTAAGACTGGCACACAGTAAACATTTAATAAATGCTTTTTGATTGACTGATGAGATTACCTAAACCTTTCTTGAGCTTATTTTGTCTTTGGCTTGTACCAGCTCTCAGATATGTTCTATGAATATAATACCTTTGATATAAAGTAATTTAAAGTCAGAAAGGACCTTAAAAAAAATTCATCTGGTCTGGCTCCCTTATAAGCAAACTGATGCCCATAGAAAGTGACTATTCAAGGTTAAACTGCTACCACTTCTTTCTGTCCTAAAATTGCTTTCTTCCATCCTCAAGAAAGCCTTCCTTTTCCCACTTCAATTCAATTTGAATTATCTCTCAATGTGGCAAATCAAGACCGGACTAACCTGCCCTTTCCTTGATTCCCACTTACCTTCAATTTTCCCTCTAGAGTTCGTGACCGCTTGAAGCCAGAATTCTTGGTCTCCGCTTTAATGGCACTGATAGCTCCTGATTTTACCAGCTGTTTAGCCTGCTCTGTTGCTGTGGCTGTGTCTACCACAGGCTGCTCTGATAGAGCTAAGCAAGGAAGAACAGAGAAAGCATGAAGTGGAGGTGTTAATTTCACCTGACCTATGGGAGAAGTCCTTTTAAGTCTTAATTCCTTTTTCAGTCCACTGTTGGAATCCCTACCAAAATCCACCCCTCTTGCCTCAACCCCTATAATAACAGCATTTAACCCATTACTCACAGCGTTTGACGCCCCCCTGGCTGGCTGTGCTACTATTACTCTGCTTCTTAAGAGCCAATAATGCTTTTTTCTAGAGAGGAGAGAGAAGCAAAAGGAAAACAAAAAGAGTTAATGAGGGCCTTTTCCCACCCTAAGATCCTATAGTTTCTGTGTTGGGAGAACTTCCCATAAATTTCACTTATTATAATTACTGGTAAGAACTACTAAAACCATGATGTCCTGTGGCTCTCCAGGGTGCAATATTTAATGACACTGGGTTCACAAGTCACATACCTGCCTGTTGCCTATCAAGAGCTACTTTATATTAAACTTATTGATAGTGCTACATAGATTGGAAGGTGGTTATTCTTACAGTAAAGGGATCAAAAAAAGGATTTGGGATAAGGGCCTATCCTTCTCTTTGGCTCACTATGCTTGTTTGCTCACCTTTTTCTTGAGTTTGCTGAATTTCTTCTGCAATGCTTCTTCTTCCTCACTCAGTCCTGGGGGCAGCACCAACATGTCAGCTCCCTACTCTGAGCCAGGTCTGGCCCTCCAGAGACGCAACTGTATAGCAAAACAATCTGTCCAAGGGAGGTACCTTTTGCCCATCCATCCCCATAGCCTAAATGCTCAAGATATCTGAGAGGTAACCATTTCACCATGGCCTGCTCCAGGCCCTGCCTTGTCCTCCCAGTGGCATCCCTGGACTCCAAAGGGGAGAACGCTGAGAAATCCAGGACCTGGGTCAGCCATGTCACAGACTCCCAGGATAAAGAAAGAAGTCCATCTAGTCTGACTCTCATCTACTCTACAAGTGAAGAAACAGATTCTCAGAAGGGAAGTGGCTTGTTTGAGTTCACAGCGCTAGTCTAGGACACAAGTTCTGTCTAAATCCTAGCACAAAATCACTTTGGAGGAGGATGCTTTCCAGTCACAATGTAAGAGGTATGGTGTTCCCTCAGAGGTCCCTTTCTTCTCCACCCCCTCCCCCCATACCCTGAGGGCACTCTCAAATCAGGTCAATAAGCACTTACTAAGCGCTTACTATGTGCCAGGAACTGTGCTAAGTGCCGGGAATACAAAGAATAGCAAAAACTGTCCCTGCCCTAAAGGGGCTCACAGTTTAATAGGTGAAACAACATACACACGTTCTCCTGGAATACCCCCAACCCTCACATACATCGTTACTATGGCAACAGCGATCGAACTCCTGCCGCCCGACGAGATGATCATAGCAACTCCAGGGGTTCCCGAACGCCTGGGGTTCGGGCCGGAACTCCCGCCATGTCACCATAGTAACGGGGCAGGAAGACATAAAGAGCCGCAGGCTGAGGAAAAGGAGGGAGGGAGGGAGGGTCCTCACCTGAAAAGGCAGATGTTATCGCCTTCACAGAGTCCACAGCTGCAGCTTCCTCTGCCCTCCCGGGAAAACCAGACGGGCGCAGGGTGATGACGTTGGGGGGGGGGACCTGGAACAGGTAGGTTCTGTAACCAAGGGGGCCGGAGGGGAAGGCACTTCCCCTTAGGCCTTTGCGCCATTTCCGGCACTGTTCCCTTTCTACTCTCGCCCCACTACCTGCCTTATTCCTTGGCCTGAGGCCACTTCCGCCCTTCTCTCTTATGACATCACTTCGCCCTGTAGCCACTGGCACGCCGAATGGCGGCAACTTCCGCCATGCTGGAGGCGGGACTTCCGGAGCTTCGGTCCTCAACGCATTTCCGGCTTCGCGGCGATTCTGGGAGGCCGCGGTATGCTGGAGACAGAGCGACTGGGTAAAGGCTGGAGCAGATTGGGTGCTGGGAGTGGGTGTAACCTTTGACCTTTGCCCTGAGCCTGGACCTCTGCCCTCAGCCCTGACCAGTCTTTCTTGTTTCTCAGTGCTGCCCCCTCGGGGGCCCTTGGACTTGCCCCTCTGTGCCCTGGAGCTCGGATGCACTGGGCGCTGGGAGCTTCTGAGCCCGCCCCAGGTCTCGGACCCGCCGGCCGGCACCGTGAGTGAGCCCTGACCCCCCGAGGGCTGGCACTCACCCCAACCCAGAATGAACCAGTTTTTCTCCTTCTTCCCCGCAATCATTGTGATTCCATGTAGGGGAAAGAACTTTGGGCTTGTAGTCAGCAGACACAGCATCCTTCTTTGAGTGGTGCCGCTCACTCCCTGCGGGACCCTGGATCGGGCTCTTTTGGCGGGGGATGGGCGGGGGCGGTGAGGTGGGAAGAGGACCTGGCCCAGGCTCTACTTGGGCCTCAGTTTCCTCCTCTGTAAAATGAGGTTAATCATGATTAATCCTTTTCCTGCTTTCCTGATTTCATAGGGGAAGGGAGGGCTGTTGGAAGGTTTAGGTGAGAAAATGAATATAAAAATGTGCCATTGCCATTATTAATAATGTTAACAATAACAGTAATTCTTTTCAACAGTTATTCATTGAAATGTCAGTTTTTGTGCCCAACTTTGAGGAGGGAGGGGTGGGGAGAGCAGCATGTATTAAAGAAAGATGTAAGGGAAGGAAAGTGAGGTCCAGCCTTCAAGGAATTCACATTCTGGTTGGGGAGACCAAGGTACCAGGGAAGAGGATTAGTAGTGACACAGATATGTAAGTGCCCTTTACTAGGAAGCTATACTGTGAGAACTCTGGGACTTCAGAGGAAGTAGAGGCCTTTGAAGGCTGGGGGATGATGAGGTCTGGAAAAATCTAACTCAATTTAGTACAATATTGAATGCCATTTATAGTCTAGACATTTTATATTGGAAGTGGGATTCGAGGATCCTGTCCTAGTGGATTGCAAATTCCTTGAAGGCAGAGGGTAGAGCAAAAGTCCTTATCCTATTTAATCTTTCAGTTTCCTTTAGCACTTAAGTGTGTAGATAATACGTTCTTAAGAATTGGAAAGATATGAAGAATGACCACATTGTCTGAAGTCAGGGATTAACCCCCTTTTCCCCCTACTTCCTGCTCTCCTTGTCCTCACATCATTTTCTTTCCCTAAAGTTTTTACCTTTGCTCTTAATTTGCTCCCTTGCCTCTGATGATTTCTTTCCTCTCAGCATTTATTATGTTACCTCTTAGGTGAGCTAGCTAATTGTCTGAAGGTAAGTCTGGGGAGGGAAAGTCTGAAGGCAGACTGTATCTTTTATTTCTCCGTTCCCTTTAGTGCTTGTCATAGTGTAGACACATAGTATATGCTGAAGAAGTACTTATCAATGTATGCCTTTCCTTTGATCCTGCTATTCTTAAACTCTGACCTGCTCTTCACCTTCCACCTTCATTTAACAAGGAACCTTAATCTGTCTTTTTTCTCTCTTGAGCAATTTGTTCTCTTTCCTCTCTACCTGCCACTCCTGTGTTTCCCATTCTGTGTTTGTCTTCCTTTTGTTTTTCCAGCTCTCCCATGGACTACCACCCTGTGCCCCAGAGTTGCAGGGAGAGACTGAGCAACTGTTTCTGTCTTCCCCTGAATGGCTGCCCTTGCACGGTGTGGAACGTGTGGCCTGGTGAGAATGGTTCTGGTCACCTAATATGGGAGTAAGATATGATGGTGGGAAGGAGACTGATTCGTTTCTTCTGGTCTCCTCAGGAAATGGCAGAGGAAGACAGACCCCTGGTCTCTCCTGGGGCTCCCAGGAGCTCCTGTCCCATCAGATCTACAGGCTCAGAGACACCCAACCACTGGCAGAGTCCTGGGCTACAGAGAGGTTAAGGGCATCTCCAGTAATGTAAGACAGATAGGAAGAGAATAAGAGATGGATTTAGCTTCATTGTGTCACTGTGTTCTCTCCCAGGTCTTGTTGGAGGACACAAACCTCTCGGCCACAACTTCCCTGTCTCTACGCCGACCTCCAGGACCCCCATCCCAGGCCTTATGGGGCAACCCAACACACTACCCATTTTGGCCAGGTGATATTTGAGGAGGGAGAGTGGAGAGCAGAGTGAGGAAAAGGCTCCTGTGTCCTAAGGAAGCAGAGAGTGAACTATTTTTCCTTATGTACTAACTCATTTTTTCCTGCTGTTTGCCTTCCTCCCAGGTGGGATGGATGAACCTACTATAGCAGATTTGAGCACATGTGGGGACTCTGAGGAAGAGATTGACTTTGAGAAAGGTGAAGGGGGGACTAAATGGGCAGATTGAATTTTGATTGAGGATTGGAGATGGAAGGGGGATGTGGTCTCTCATTACTGTAGCTTTCCACTGTTGTTTTCCAGATCTCCTTACCATCCCACCGGGCTTCAAAAAAGGTGTGGACTTCACCCCAAAGAGTAAGAGTTTTCTCTGGTGTGGTGGAAGGGGGAAGGAAAGGTGTCAGAAGAGGCAGAAGGGAAATGGTGACTGTACTTCTATTTCTCTTGACCCCTGCATCTTGCCAGAACACTCAGCCCCTGCTCCTGGCCTCCTCAGTCTCAGCCATCTCCTGGAGCCCTTGGAACTGGGTGGAGGGGAGGAGGAGGAGGAGGAAGAGACTTCAGGAAGATTGGGGGGTCCTGGAGGGGACAGTGGTACAACCTCTACCTCTGAACCTCCATTGGTCCGTGCTAGTAGCCTGGAGGATTTAGTCCTAAAGGTAGATAGGGTATGGATGGGTGGATAACTTGGTACATTCTGTTGGGGAGAGGGTCTAAGAGTGGGATGGGATATAGAGGTCTGTGTTAGTCTGATGCTTTTTCCCTTACTCCATAGGAAGCATCAGCCCCCATGCCTCCTCCGGAACCTCCAAAGCCCCCAGTCTTGGAACAGTGGGCCATTCCTGTGGATATTACTTCGCCTGTGGGAGATTTCTACCGTCTCATCCCCCAACCTGCTTTCCAGGTCGTGAATCTCACCTTTTCAACTCCCCTATCTCCAATGCCATGTTCCATAGTCTCCTGCCCCTTCCTGATAGGTAAGATTCAGAACTGGTCCTACTCCAGACTCCAAGAGGTATACAGATAACATAAAAGCCACTACCCACCTTACCCGCTCCTGGCACAGGATACCATAACTCTTGTGTACCCCTCTGTGACATTCCCTTTTACCTTCAAATGAAGTGTGTGTAATAGGTGCCATACTAGGGCTAAAGTTGGGATAAGGAACCCTACCTTTACCTCAATATTCCTAGCCACTTTTCCCCTTCTTTTTCCTACTTATTTCTCTCTAGCGTGAATATAGGGTTATGGATCATTTTATTAAAGAATATTTCTACTTCTTCCTTTCCTCACTCACTGGATCCTTCTCACATCGTCTCTACCCTGTATCCATTCCTCTCACAGTGGCCGTTTGAACCAGATGTATTTCAGAAACAGGCTATTCTGCACCTGGAGAGACATGACTCTGTTTTTGTTGCTGCTCACACATCTGCAGGAAAGACTGTTGTGGCTGAATATGCCATTGCCCTTGCCCAGAAACATATGACCCGGTATGGCGGCAGGGAGAGGGTAGTCCTGATCTTATCCCTAACTTGTCCTTACTAGTTCAGCCCTCTTCCATCTCAGTGCCTGGGACACAAGAAGGAGTTCAGGGGAGCCTGTGGGAGATGATGACATGGAGAACAGGAGAGAAAGAAAGAGACAAGAGAAGAGATCCAATGAGGACAGACTAAAGTGGTTTAGAAGTGACCAGAGTTATTTTAGAAGGGCTTTCTGAAGGGGTGAATGTAGTGCCAGGTTTGGTAGGATTTGTGGAATGGACCTGGGGGAGGAAGAGGGAAGGAGATCTGAGCTCAGGAGCAACAACTCATGTGAGTGAAAGTTCAAAATTCCTTCATCTTCTCCAGTACCATCTATACATCACCCATCAAGGCCCTGAGTAATCAGAAGTTCAGAGATTTCCGAAACACATTTGGTGATGTGGGACTCCTCACAGGGGATGTCCAGCTACATCCTGAAGCTTCCTGCCTCATTATGACCACAGAGATCCTTCGGTGTGTGGATGTTAAGATCCTGGGATTCGGGATATGGGGTGGACCTGAAGTCCATGGCCAGAGTTGTATACATGCCTAGGATCTAGGGGGAAGGATTTAAAATTTGATTGGGAAAACAAAGTAGGAATCACAAGGGGGTCAGGTTATTAGTTGAGAGAAGGAAGTTCTAAGTATGTTTTCATCTATTTCTGTTCCTTCCACCTAGCTCCATGCTGTATAGCGGCTCAGATGTGATTCGAGACCTTGAGTGGGTGATATTTGATGAGGTCCATTACATCAATGATGCTGAGGTGAGGAGGGTGAAGCTGACGTTACCCCTAGGAACTGGCCTTTGGACGTTTCAGTCCTTTCCTGTCTAAAGGCTTCTTCCACCCCTTCACCTCCACTCCCAACTTTATCCCCAAGAAGGCCCCTATGACACAGCTTTCCTTTGAGGATAAAAGGAAAGGTCCTGGGGGAATAGGAGTTATGTCATCTTGTGCCTGATGGGGGCGAGGTAAATGGTGACTTGTATGTGTCTATCTTTATACTTGTTTGCAATGTTTGTGTATCTTTGATCTTTCTGTGACTAGCGAGGAGTAGTATGGGAAGAAGTCCTCATCATGCTTCCTGACCATGTTTC